AATGTGGTTTTCTTTCAGGCAAAACCGTTCTAAAGCAAATAAGCTCCGTCTTCCATCCGGGAGTTGGCATCATGATCATATCTTCTTGAGCTCTCCTTAAGATCCTATATTTCCCAAGGTGTAGGCTTTGTAGTACATGGTTTCCCTCACCTTCTGTTTTACTATTAGCCTTCTCCACCTCTTTTTTACTCTTTCAGCGGAACTGACTACTCCCCCCAGATGACGTTTTTTGAACTTTTTTATTCTTGGATGCTTCAGACGTCGCAGGGGTTTTTAAAGAATTCATGTAGGCTTTGTGTTGCCTCTAGACCCTTCTAACCATGGAGGCTCCCATTTGTTTAACAGGCTGTCCATTTTTCCCAACCACGTACCATTTTCGCCCGAGGCGGGCATGGTTATCTTTCTTGACAGGATTTATTATCCCATCATTTCTCCTGACTTCTTTTCCCATATGGCCATGTTGAAGATGTTCTACACCCCTCTCATTTGGCTTTTTAGCATCCTTGTCTTCTGCCTCCTTAGAAGCTTCATGATTACGAAATATCTCTGATAAAGCTCTGGGTTGGGAATCGCCTCCTAACCGCTGGAAAACACTTCGAGAAGAATCTCTTCCTACAATTCGTCTAGCTCTCTCGCGAGCCTCTTTTCTTTCTTCTTCCTCCTTCCTCCTGATTAGCTCATGATCCATGAGGACTCCTGCTGGTGGTATTTCAAGCTCACACTCGCATTGGCATTTACTGCAAAGAACCATCCCTTTGATTATAGCTGCTTTTGGATGTTCGGCCAATCTGATCACTCCTTTTATGGATTTGTCGGCCAGTCTTCCTTCTTCTATTTCCCTTGTGACCTTTTCTTTCCCCTTCTTGGCCCATGCCATACTGATCATATTTACTGGGGCTTCTAAGAAGGGATCTGTATGTTTGTCCGCCACTGCTTCTTCTGGCTGGTTGGTTTTAAGTCTCTCTTTTTCCCTACTATCTTTTTCCCCAAGCTGGGGTAAAGATACATGAATAGTTGGTCTTAGAACCAGGTCTATTTTCCTTCTGAAGCATGTGGAAGCGCTCTCCAGTCTTTGCAACATTTGCAACAAGGTAGTTTGCACGTCTTCATCAAAATGTTCTAGAGCAACCGCTCTTTTAAATCTTCAGGTTTTCTTGACATATCTCTTTGGTAAGTAAGATCTGATTAAAGAAATCCCACCGGGCGTGCCAAAACTATGTTCGTGGCTAGAATTTCCGTTGGGGATGTTTCCTAGCCGACGAGCACACAGCTCCCCGAAAGGTTGGTGTCGGCTGATGCTTTCTGTCGGGCTTCTGCTTACTGGCTGGCTTATCGGGCAAATCTTGTCGGGCAAGGCTGAAAGAGAAGGACAGGGTTAACTTTGAAAGGTGCCTTTGTAGGGCCTTAGGTGTAGGCCTTGAGGCTCATAATCAAGATTAACTTTTAGGTGTTCAGGGGTGCCACTACCATCTTTAGCATGGCAGATGTAAAACAGATGTTGAGTTTTAATTGTATATATACCCAAGAGGCTGTTTTAGTTATGAAATGTGCCTTTGTGGGGCCTTAGGTGTAGACCTTGAGGCTTCCCATCAATAACTAACCCAGTACTCGAACATATAATATCTATTTCATTGGTTGCAAAAGTGTTATGACTATTATACTTCTAATTACCCGAGCTCGAAAAGCAGAATGCATCCAGATAGGTGCATTTGTTGGGCCTTAGGTATAGGCCTTGAGGCTTCCCATCAGAATTACTTCTATACTCAAACGTTCTACGATAATCATAATATAAGAGAAATAAAACTTAGGAAATCAGTCGATTACTTGCACCCCAAGTAACTTCGGACTTCTTATTATCAAAGACTGTCGTGGATGGGTTAAGTCCACATAAGGTTCTTTTTTATGCCTTGAGACCAAGGACTTTTGAATGATCAATCTTACATGCCCGAGGGTTTAGAACTTAGATCTGATTTAAGTTGTGACTACATATTCTAATCGGATTTCAAGCACTGAGGAGTCTTTTAATCATCAACTTGCTGGAACCAACTTGGATACAAATGGAAGTATACAACATATTACTAGACTTATGAATGAAAAGACAAAAAAAAAAAAAAAACAAAGAGGGTCGACAAGGTTTCACCTTGTCGGGCAAGACTGGATGTCTTGCAACTTCCTATCTTTTGTGATTTATGGAGGGGCTTGAGAGCTTTAGAAAGAGGGATAGGGAGATGAGTTTACAGAAGGAAATCGATACTACAGCAAGATTTATGCAAGGTAGCAGAGCTTTTACAAAGGTTTTGGGTGAAGGTTGATCCCGAAAGGGATGAAGACTTGGGCTGACTACAACTTTGTTGAAAGCAAATCTGGCTTGAGCAGAGTTTGTGCTTGTATTTGTTTGTTTGTTTGAGTGTCCCTATCTCTGATTTCTCTTTCTTCTTTTATAAACAATTTGGCTTGGTCTCCTGTAGCTTTAATCTTGCCTAAATGCAGCTTGAAGGGCAATGACTCATCAGCTTTTTACTTGTACTGCCACTGTAAAGTGCTTTTGGGCTGATTAGCTAGCTGGTCTACACCACTTGGTCTCTAGGTAGATGAACAAGTGGTGCAAATGGTCTGCACCTAGTCGGAAAAAAGCCCTTTCTTCTAGTCTTCTTGTTGGGCTAACTCCCTTTTGAGCCCAAAGTTCAAGTTTTAACCCAAACAACGGGGCTTTGGTTGGAGTGGTTAGGGAGAGAAGGGGGAGGAGGACGATGTCGACTTTGCCGTGGGAAGTCAGGTCTAAGACGTGGCTCTTCGATTTGAGAGCTTGGGGGTTTGAAAATCACCAAGCAGAGACTTGGGCTTTGTTCCATGAGGAACATTGGGTCATGTTGGTGGTCTGACATCGATGGGGAACGGCAGTGGAGCCGCCATCTGAGTCATCTGGTTGCGTCGGATCGTCAAAGAAGAAGATGAAAAGTGGCTGCAGCCACTAAGTTTGAGGCTGGAGATTTTTAGAGAGAGAAATGAGTGAGAGAGAGATAAGTGGGGTCATTTGGTTTAATTTATTTATTTTTAATTGATTTGTAAAATTGAATTGTTTTTATTTTCCAAGTCGTAAAAATATATGGACTTTGTATTTTCCACATCATCACTTAACGATCAAATTAATGGTTTGACTAACGGATATATGAGATTGTAATTAAATGATAAGTCAATGTATGGGACTGAAATGTTTTAAATATACTGTATAAAGTTGCAATTACACTCAAACATGAGGAGATAAAATGTAATTTACCCATAAATAAATAAAGGTTTCCTTCTTACGCATCCAACACAAATATTACATAAGATAATCCTTACCCAAGTAATAAGGAGGCCCGCATAAAAAGTCCCAAAAGTGACCAAAAACACTACAAAAACTACTGGTATGGTCACCCGTTGCCCCTGCCCCCCCCCGGGGAGTGCTAGTGGAGATGGTCAGCCGCCAGAAATGCCAAAAAATCCACTAGAAGAAGCAGAACTCTAGCCCATTCTTTGTCTCACCTCCTGTCGAATGGAACCAAACACAGATCTAGAAACCAAACATGGATCCAGAGAAGCCTCCCAAACACATATCCAGCTACCAAACACGGATCCAGAGAAGCCTCCCGCATCCTAGTTTCTCAGGTGCAAAAACTAAAAAAAGAAGGGAAGGAAGGGAGGGGGGAAGGGGGAGGAAAAGGAAAGGAGAAAAAGGGCTTAAAAATTGATTGCCACTGGCCTTAAGCAATAAAATGATACTACTTCTGACTAATGTTTATACTCCTTTGCTAATGGTCTCTTGCAGCAGTATATGGCAAATGCCCATTAGTTATTGGTAACCACGGTTACCCGTCCATTTAAGTTTCACAGTTACTGTTATGGGTAACCGTTTAAATAAATAAACAATTATAGGTATAACCGTTTACCCGCGAAATTTAAATGGGCGGTTATGGGTATTAACCGCGGTTATAAACGGATAACCATTTACCCATTTATTTTATATATGTAAAATTAACACAAATCATGTTCCCTATCGAACAAAAGTTAGATCAATGCTATTGACTATAGTGCATGATTTATATAGCTAATATAATATAATTTTCCTTAGCCACTTTAAATTTCATGGTCCATTATATATATTATATTAATATTTTACATTTCGAGTTAAATAACTCAAGAATATTGTCTTTTAACAGTTTTTGTAACCCAAGAATACTTAACAAATTTTATATTACATTCATTGCTAACAATTAAAAATAGGAAACTTTAACGAAAAGCACCCGGTATTGTTCACTTTAACGAAAAACCACATTTTTACACTAAAAAGTCAATCCTTGTACTATTCACTTTACTCTTTATTTTGTCCTTATCATTAAAACTTAAAGTTTTCAAACCTTTTTCATTAGTTTTCCTTTAAAAATATTGTCTGTAAACTATTATTTCAATTATTAAAATGGCATAAGGACTTAAAAAATTAAAACGCGGAAATATATGATAAATGTACCTATAACAGTGTTTTATTGTTAGAAAAAAAAATTATGACAAATTTTTCTTTTTTAATTTTCAATTTGTTAAAAAAACAAGTAGACAGGTGAAAATGGAGTAAATGGTAAAAAGAAAAGGATAAACGGCTTTAAAAATAATAAATGGATAAACAAGTAGTAAATAGTTACGGTTAAATGGGTACACGGTTATGGATATGGTTAACCATTTATCAACGATTATGGATATGGGAATAACCGTTTAGACAATTACCTAACAGGTAAACGGTTATGCGAGTATGAGAATAAACGGTTATGGATAAATAACCACGATTACCCATCCGCCATAACCGTTGTCCATCCCTATTGATCCTACTGTTGGAGATATGCGATGAGCATGATATACTATTAACCCTACTGTTGGAGATATGCGATGAGCATCCCATCGCATATCTCCAACAGTAGGGTCAATAGGTTGCATTACAATCACTTTGGAACTCTTCGAGATCCGACAAGTGAAATTTAAACATGACTTTATGTGTTATATTGACGTCAACTTTAAATAGTGTATATAAGATTACATTCAACCATAAGAGCGAGATACACGAGCTGCGGATAGGCATAAAGCAAAAACAAAGCCTTCTCCAAAAGTGTTAAAAAAGTAGACACGAATAATAATTTCAAAGTGCTACTGCAAAGACTCAATGGAATGACGAGCACAACGGCGTACCCTCCTACAAATTATGAAGAAGAAGAGTCAGTTCGAATAGGCACAAGTAGAAATAAATTAATTTCGGATAAAAAATGAAAAACGAAAAATCAAAAGTTTACTAACTTGTTGTAAGCTTGTATATCATGCTGATACATGTGAGCAGCATCAGGGTTTGCTGGACTTGCAGCGTTTGGATCAGTGAGAAGTGACTGCAACAATTTGTTCATTAGTAAATTAACCAACATGATCGCCATGTAATATGAATGTACGAGAGAAGGAAATGAGTAGTCCGATTTGAAAATTACTTGAACAGACGTCAAAATCGTAGATACATTGTGGCATGGTGACCATGCATCCTGAATTATATCCATGCACAGTGAACCATCACGATAAACTGCACAAACAACATAAGTAACGAGTCAGAATTCTTTTGCTCGGATAAAAATGCAGAAATGTAGAAATGTAGACTTGTAAATCAATAAACCGGAAGCAGAGTAGAATTGAGGGGTCAAGGAACAAATAAACAAAAACACAATATGTTTATTAATACATGAACCAATATAATGAGAAGAAATATAAACCGTAAGCTGTTGAATTTGAACTAAGATAAAAGCTTATGGCTTTTGTTCTTGGATTTTTTTTATTCTTTTGCAATCAGACACTGTCCTTTGTAGTAGTGCTCATCTATACTATAATTTTCATAATCCCTCTTTGTCGGTGTATTGAAACTGATATATATTTAAGAACAAAAGATATTAACCACTATTACCGTGCTGCTTGTTACATTGACAAGGAAGATACATATAAAAAATATTACTGGTATGAACATGAAAACAAGAATCGGGCAATTGTCAAATCTCATCATCATCATGCCATACTCTTGAAAGTTAATTAGCAGAACAGCATGTTTTCTATATATCTAATCTAAATCTAAATTGTTAATAGTGGTCTATGTTTCCTTTTAACAATGGACCTTAACATGGTCTCCAATGACTTCATATGATATCAAGGGAGAAATAGAAACAGTAGTTTTAACTCTTTAGTCTATTGAAGATGAATTGCCCTCGGATACCATAAGTTTGCATTATTTGTAAGTAAGTTAGCAGCGGTGCAAAAAGAATATGCATATAGCCTCTTCAATGGCCTGTAAAACTCCAAACCAGGGACTTGAAATGCTATACAACAGAACAGAGCATTTCTCAGCAGCGCTGTTTGCTCGATATTGTTTGTTGGTTCAGACAATTTCATTGTTGTTTTTAAAGTGAAATTATAGAAGTTCACAACCTTCAGACACTCGATCCATCTATACAGGTAAAGACTAGAATGCATAATCCCAGCAACAAGTAACGTTGATCTCTAATCACTTGATAAACGCTACCTAAGGTTATCATAACTTATCTGAGATGAAATGTTCATCGTGTGGTCGTTTAACACGGTATCATAACTTCGGTTACAACTTACGAGAGTCCCTGAGTTGAAACCTTCAATTATTTGTTAATTGCAAGATTACAAGCTTAAGCTTTTGAGTTCAGTTGTTGCTAACATTTCCTATATAAAGAAAGCAAAGTAGAACAGATATGATTTTGATCAAACTAACCATTTGGATGGAAAATTTCGGAGGTGAAACGAACCCGAGGCGGCTTTTCGGGATAACGTTCACTAAATGTCAACCTCAAGCTAAAAACACCACCTGAGTTTTTCCAAATTTAACATCAAAACAGTCAAATTCCAAAACCAAATCAACAAACAAAGAAAACACAGAACAAAAAAAACAGAAACAGATCTGCCCACAACCTTCCCATGGGGTCTCATCAGGCCCGAATATGGTGGCGCTCCACACCATCAGATTGTCATCAGACAGAGGGCTGGCGCTGCAACCCTGCAAAAACCCAGATGCAGTTCAGCATATCTGATCGGATTTGATCGGAATTTGAGGTAAACTTGATCGGAATTTACCTCGGGGGGCTCGTTGATGATGGTTCTGAGATCGGACATGAGCCGGAGTTGCGCCGACGACGCCATCTCAGATGCAAATCGCGGAGCTTTGCGTCCTTGCGGACCAGAAGCTCGGTAGGTCGCAGAATATATAGTAAAGCAAAAGAGGCACAGATTTTGGATGCCTTTTATTTTATGTTTTTTTTTGCTGATATTTTTTCGAAATTAATAAAGAAAGAAAAGGTAGGAATGGAAACTGGCCCTCTGTATCTATGTCCTTGTGCGGAATGTGTTTGTATCTCTCTAAATATCTGGCTGTAAATTCTTCTGTTTTCTTTTAATTTGTTTGCTGGCTCTCATGAAATTTGAATACCAACTTTGTCTATGGCGCTTGTAACTTTTTTAATAGGAAAGAAAATCGCACACTGCACACTTTTTCTCTCTTTGGACACTTTTAAATTATCATGGAATTTTTTGCAATTCGATGACTAGAAATAAAACATCGTATATGAAGAGAATTACATTGTTTGATAATCGTGAACTGATTTTTACGCACGCCTAACTTTTCATAGCCCTCTTTATTTTTAGTCTTTAAATAAGTACTGGTTTGGTATTGAGCTGCTTTTATAAAAAATGGGTATAAAAAAAGCTGAGCTCAAAAAGTTGTTTGGTAAATACTTAAAAACAACTTATTTTCACATTTTTGGATGAAAAAAAAAAGCTGAAAACGTGAAGCAGCAAAAATGAGTTTCTTCTCACAGTACAGTAGAAGCAATTTTTTTTTCAAAGCACAGCAATACCAAACCAGCCCGAACAACAGACAAAATTAAGCAGGAATTAGTAGTATCCTAAAAAGATGTATGTTTATCATTTTTTGGATTGTGATTTCTCTTGAAGAAAAAATGGATTTAAAGGCCTCTTTCAAGAGAGTGAGAGCAACTCACATAGAACATGTTCACCTCCACATAAAGTTCTAGTCCAGGAATATCATTTGATTTCATCGTAAAAAAAACTTACGCATAACAATGATGTTACCGAAACGCCACAAAAGTAGTAATTTAGTTTTATGTATATCATTCTCCTTAATCGAGTTTTTGTTTGTTAACAAACGATATTATCACACGAGGGGAGTGAAGGAGTTGGTTAAGCCTTATAATAGGGTCATAATAATATGGTTCAAATTCACCTTTAACGTGAATCAAACTCAATACCTCTCACTTACAAATCAAGTTTTTTATTTTGTTTTCGAGAGCACCTGGTTCTGCAGTGGTGATTGGTTGGGATTGGGAGGGACTCTTTAGGTGTTTAGGTGGGTAAACAAGAATACGGTTTTGTGCGTGCTTGTTTATAAGTCCCTTAGGCTAACCATTTCCATTTGGGCCTTGGATCTTTTCATTTGGGCTACATCGAGGGTTTATGAGTGCAAACAATCCCCTCCATGACTTCAAATCAGCTCAAGATAAACTAATTGATTGTGAGATTTTGTACTATTCTAAACGACTCTAATGTACGAGGAGATTGATTTGAGTTTTAAGTCTAACAGAGAGAGTGCATTTACATTGCCCATATTCCATGTTGTATTGAGATTTGAGCATACAGGAAACTTTTAAAGATAACAAATTGTTTGGGACGAAGTGCGACCAACTTTTATCAATGGAGAAATATGAACTCACGATGAGTTGACCACATTGATTATTTAAGGAAAAAAAAAACTTGTATGTAACAAATTCTTATTCACTCTCTTTACATCGCTTATTTGTGACAGTATGTGCAGAGAAAGAAGATAATGAACCCGTTACAAGTAAATTTTTTCTTTACCCAAGGCATTCGTATATTATAATACCTCTAATCATGCAATCTATTTTATAGCAAAGTTAGCTAAAACAATAAAAAATTATTAAAGGACCTCTCTGACAAAGTTGTGCTCCAACCATACTTCATACTTTAGAGAGTTATAATTACCATGACTCAATAATTAGCCAATAGAAACTAGTTATTTATTAAAATAATAGTAGAAGTAGTTAGCATTAATTGCAGATAGCCACTAGGAGCTCATGTCTCCCTTCGTACATTTAGGAGCTTCCTAGATGTATCCATATCTTAGCAGGTGGATTAGGGAGCATGATTGGAGTTGATTTTTATTTTAAATCGTTTCAAAATTCTAGTTATGAAATTGGTAACAAGTGCATTACCCTACAATAAAAACTTTGAAACCAACTGCACTGACTAGTCAAACGTGTTAGTCAATGGAGGACAGATTATTAGGTGCTCACAAGTATATAAACCAAGAAAACTTATAAAGCTAAAACAAGGCAGTGTGATCGTCAATTATGTTTTAGCCTTAATTCTTGAGTTATGTTTACTTGGTTAACAAAGTGTCAATACTAGCAAACCCTAAAATGTTTACCTCTAACAATGGTTATTTGGTCATAAAGGATGCTTTGTAAAGTATTGAACACAAGAAAGTTTTTGGCCAGAAAAAACCCACCTCTAGGTTAAAAAACTGGGGACTCTCCACTGAATCCAATCCACTAGTGCAAACAAAGTTCATACAAAGACCACACAAGCTCAATTCCCAAATTCCATCTACAGAGCAGCTTTACCTTTGTATAACCTTGTCTTACACGAGATGAACTCTTTCGGTCTTCACGAAGTGACAGCTTCTCTTGAGCTCTTCACCTTGTGGCACTGAGATCAACATGATCGATGATAAGATGTTATGTTATGTTTATGAAATCTAGATTCAAATGACCAGTCAGATTCTCTAGTCAAACAGTTGAAGGAAGAATCTAACTTGAATCCAAATGTTTGGTCTACGAAGGATATGAAACTTAAATTTAGACCAAAACTTAATGCAAAACCATTAAAACAATGCAACCCTAATATGCAGTGATTGGGTGTTTGTGCGTGAGATGGTTTTGTGGCTAGGGTTTCGGTTTGGAAGCTTAAGAGGTAGCTCTACGCTAAGTGCACTTTTTTTTTTCTTCTGAAATGTAAAAATCCTAACTAAGAAACAAATGAAACCTCTTTTAATAGAAGGGCTGGATGTTTCAGACTAGAGGAACAAGGAGACACGTGTCACAAGCCAAGAGACCTTTTTAGATCAAGGGTGAGAAATCCACGCACGAGATAAGGTGTCAAATGGCCCATATGGGCTTTCTTAATTTGCTTGCCTAGACAGCTGGACAACAGATGAAATTTCTAACTAGACAACTGCATTAAACTAAAGGAATCTGGAAACATAAACTTGATATGGAAATGCAAATGTATGATTCAAACCTTTTGTAGTGTAGAAGGCTGATGCTTTGACAAGTTCAATCCCAGTAAAAATCCAGATCAACATTGTACTCTAACTCTAAATTATGAGCATGTGTGGTAGCATTTACAAATTTTGACAAGGGAAGCCAAACAATAAACCTAGTACTTAACAAGTTAGACTGTCTCCAACACAGGGGTGAAAATAACACCCAGATTGGGTCCAAATCATCTCCAAATGATGTACTTTGGGGGTGGGAAAAACAAGAATTGGGATTGGGGTTAGGGTTGGGTATTTGGGTCTCTTTTGGCATCCAGGTGGATAAGAAAGTGGGTGAAATAGGGGCTCTAGCAAGTAGGCAGCAGTGTGAAGACCCGTATTTAAAGTGCATATCTCTAATATTAGAAAAACAGAAGTCAATTTTAGTGTCTAAAGGCTTCACCAAAAACAATTGGATCCAAAAGCCCTTGAAAAAAAAAATCCACAAGACACAAAGAAATAAGGAACATAATTCCTACTGTATTTTTGTAAAATAAAACAAAAAAAAAAAGATTTTCTATTTCTTTTAATAAAAACACATGTCAGTTACTATTAAGAATCAACTGTTTGGAGATCGAGAAGTCAGTTACCCCCACACACCCCATATTTACGTCCTCCAAAACCCATTACATAGCAGTTTCTTAATAAAAATCCATCTCATTCTTTCATAAAAGAACGGTATCGTTCATCTCATTTCTCTAATTGCAGTCCACTAAACAATTACGACTGTTAATGTTTCGAATTTGTAATCAATTATTTGGCTTTGTGAAACTTTACAGGGAGTTAATTCCCATTCAAATGGATGGTTAGTGTTTTTATACGATGACTAAACCAAATTGCAAATTCAATTCCATGACAATTATCTTCTCTCGACAAGGATATATGATATTTATTGGATCATATCCCTGATTATACGATTAATCATAATACATTTCAAATTTCGGATTCTCCAAAATTCGGTCTTTGAGGTCAAAGAGCACCAACATATGTGTCCATAAACCAATAGCAATAGTGCAGCAACTAAGTTTCTATATGTGCCCCCTACGGGCGTCACCTTTGATCAAAGAGCACAATAAGGTATGCTGTGCTGAAAAGTGTAAGCACAAATAAATGTCCTTTTGTGCCCAGTTCTGACAAAGTTGTCAGATGACTGTTGCCACCCATGTTAGCACATTTATTATTATTGTGCCCAATATGTCAAGTATTTTAAAAAAAATTAAAAAAATTAAAAAACCAAAATCACCTACAAATTGAGATTGAGGCTAAACAAAAAATTATTTTTTTCATAAAATTAAAACAGCCAACAACCACAAACATCTATAATATTACAATTTACAAAGATATTCACAACCATTATATATAAAAACAACTATAATTTTACATGTTCTATCCCCAACTAAAATAAAACTAAAATTATAAAGGTTTTAAGTGAATATCGGTTCTCTTAAGAATAAGAACATCAAATATTAAGGTTTTAAGTGAATCTGCATAGTTCTTTTCTCATCTTCTAGTTCCAAAATTTTCTTTCCCAAATGCTGTTTGAGTGCCACAATATCGGACCCTTCAAAATTTACATAGAGCAACAAGAAATGAGTATGTAGTAGCTTCCAAATTTTCAAATTATGATTATTTATCTTTATCTCATGAGCTGTTGTATATCCTTCCTCCCACAGATTAATTGGTGTAATTCTGCTATGTATACATGCACTTGTTTGTGATTGAAACATAAAGACTTTTGCCTAACACTTTAGTAACATTCTTATATGGATGGCAAACAATCCTCACACAAATTAGGACATAAAAATAGAATCCAAAGTCCCAACAATATAATTCTCACTCTTTCAAATGTAAAGAACTAAAGAAAGAAAGATGCATAATATCTCAAAATATGCCATTTCCTACAACATATAACAAACCCGAATTTAAAGAACCTAGGAGATTAGAAGTTGGTTTGGAGT